GATTTTCAATAACCTTAGATAGATCTCAATACTTGGGATTCAAGAACTTCAATGATACTATTCATTTCAAGAATGCTCAACTCAGAGGGTTCATGTGGAATTAGGAGCATGAACTACTCAACTGAAGGACTCAAAGATACTTCTCATCTCAAGACTGTTCGACTTATAGGGTTCATGCAGAATTATAAGCATGAACAACTCAACTCAACTCAATGAATTCATGGGTAACATGTAATAGTCCCATGATTAGAAATATAATATGAAAGGAGATTAGGAACTCAATACTCAAAACTTAGAACTTGAAGATACTACCCCTCTCAAAGGTACTCAACTGATGGAGTTCATGCGGAAGTTATGGGCATGAGCGAGTCGACTCAAGGGTCAAAATATCAATAAGGAACTCATGTATACGACTCTTCTCATTCTCATACTTACTTACTCAAAGCTTAACTCAAATCGATGATGGATCTCAAAGGATTCACAATTGAACTCAAAGGCTTCCTTGAACTCTACTCTTAACTCTCTCTTGAATGTGAATTATGAATTCAAGAGTTATGGCTCATGATATGAAAGATCTCACGATGACAAAGTAGTCTCATGAATACATTCTCCGCATTCTCATACTCACTTGCTCGAGTCTTGAAACAAGTTACTAGAAGTTGTAGAAGACTCCACAAAAAGACTCAAGGGACTTTCTTAGAATGTTTGAAAAAATTCTCAAAACTTAACTCTTAACTCTACCTTGAATTTGAATTATGAATTATGAATTCAAGGTTATGATTCATGTATGAATGATTTCTAGGTGTTTAGAAGTAGTTTAAAGTGTTTAGAATCAAAGGGAGTAAAGGTACCCTTTGAAAGAACTCAAACGGACGAAACGATGAAGAACGGGTGGGGGCAGGCGACCCTGGCGCTCTGAGTGGCGCGGGGTGCCAACCCCTAAAGTTCAGAGAAGTGGTTGAGGCGCTCTGGCTGGCGTGACACACCAGGCCCCAACCCAAAAAAGTTCGACGACTTTCTTTGCTCGTTTTCTCACCCTAACTCGCCTAGAATCGAACGGTTTCTTCCCCAATCACTTGGATTCGATTAATTAACATAATTACACTCTAATCTACTCAAAACAACACTCAAATTACTAAATTTCATCTCAAGAAATCATCAAAACCCCAACACAACAAGATTTAGAATGAACTTCAAGAACACCGATCAATAACTCTAATCTTTTAACTTCAAGAATGAAATTTCGCTGAAAATAACATGATTGGCGTGTGGGTGTACTAAACCAACACTATGGAATCTTACATACCTCTTAGGGATCAAACCCATGGCGAAAATCCGCAACAACAGACAAGAATCTCGACGAACGCTTGATCCTCTCCTTTTTTCTCTTCTTTTCTCTTCTTGAACTCTCAACTAAAACCCTAGGCGTATATTTGGATTATAAAACTGAACCCAATAGGATTAGTCCCCTAAAATATTACTAAAAATGAATTAAATCTGATTGGGTAAGGAAAAGACCAAAATACCCCTTACTATTTTCGGGTAACTTTCCTTAACTGGACAACTCAACTTCAAAAGGACATATCTCACTCATCCAAACTCAAAATTTAGCAAACTCGGTGGCGTTGCAAAGATAATTCAAAGATCTTTCATTATATATCTTTTATCACACCTAACATATCCTGTGCTGATATTTAATGTCATTTGAAGTTGACCCAAAACTCATAACTTAAGCTTAACTTGCAAAATTTCAGATTTTGCTATTTCCAATTTAGTTCTTTTTGGAACTCAAGGTGCTACATCTAGTGACCTGACCTTAATACTTAAGAAATTTTAAATTCCTTGGTAAAATCCTATTCACAACGAAGGATAGTTCGAGTCTTAGTTCAAAAATTTTCTGGGGTGTTACAGAGTTGGTGTCATTATGTGAAAAAAGAATGTCCCCCTCTGGATGGTCAACTAAGTGTCCTTGAAATTTCTCGCAAGTTTTCAAATGATACTACTCTAGAGGATTACTATCGTATTGATAAAGGTGCTATGCTGCCCTTACACAACCTTCTTGTTAATGTTGGTGCACAAAATACTTTTGCCCAGGAAGTAGAAACAAACTGAGGATAACTCTTTAGACATCACACTTATGGAACTGTTACTCTCTCGAAAGCCTATTAACTTACCTCAGCTGATGTTGTGTCACATGCATCGCATATGTGTGAGGATAAGAATGCATTCCCTGGGATATGGGTTCTGGTTAGGAGAGATTTTTGAGTTCTTACATATTCATGTGCAAACATGGAAATGTAACACCCCGTAGTTAGTAGACCATCTAGGGGTAAGTATGAGGGCAACAAGAGCCAAGGCAAGGGGAAAGGGCCAAGGCCAACGGGCAAGGCCCAAGCCAAGGGCCAAGACTGCCCCAAACTTGGGACACACTGCCTCAACTACACGACCACCACCACGTCTAGTTGTGAGGACCATGTCTCGTGGTGTGGTCCGTGAAGGCAAGGCAGTAGCTCCCTTGAAGCTGACTCAAAGTGTCTCACTTTCACGAGCCACTTCACAACCAGTGGTCAAGACCACGACTCGTGGTAAGGCTTGTGAAGGTGCCTTCAATTTGAGAAGTCCAAGACACTGAGGCCAAGCCACTGCCCAAGGACCACGGCTCGTGAGCCTGCCGTGGTGCCTGGGAGTAGGCTGCCTAGTGAGGGGCTTTTAGGTAAATTCCAAATTAGGTGGTTATTAAGTGAGGTCATTTTGTGTGGTCTTAGTATACCTATATAAACTATTTTAAGCCTTTAACCACCCCAATTAAGTCATTAATTCTAAAACCCCCAAAGATCCTAAAGTTCTTCCTCTAAAATATTCTCTCTCTTGAAAACTCAAGAAGAAGAAGAAGAGAGGGTCAAGCTAGGTCAAATTCCTCCATTGTTGCAAGATTTTGTAAGGCTTTATAATCAAGGTGTGATAGCTTATTTATCCATGGATTATTCCATCTATGGATCCCCCTATAATTCCCTAATTCAAGTTAGGGTTTCTTTAATATTGTGGGTTATGTTGTATGTTGACCCAATTGAGTGGGCATTGATTGATTATGATAGATTTAGTAGTGAATCATGTTATTATGATGATATTACATGTTTTCCATGGCTAACCCTAGTTAATTGATGGAATTGTAGTAATGTGGGTTTATGCCTTGTGAAGAGGGAAGCTGAGGATTTAGAGATAGTCTTCTAGAATTGATGACTTGTATAGTAATTGTTAATGAATAGAAGCATGTAGACATGAATTGAATTAGATTATAGTATATAAGATGGATCATGACTAGTAAAGCTTGTAGTTGAACCTTTATGATGATATATGACTAGAACCACTTAGTAATGAAGCATGTGATTAGAATGCCTTGAAATCTAGATATGTATGATGATTGTAAGAATTAAAGCTTTGAGAGTAAGGCTTGTAGTGAAGCATGTTGATTTATAGGGCTTTGAGAGTAAAGCTAATATGTTGAATTGTATATGCTTAAGAACACTTTGAGAGTGAAGTGTCTATGATCATGATAGGTTGTTGTGTTGTTGAAAGGATATTCTCATATACACACTTAGACATGAATATGCTAGGAGATGAAAGGTTCTCTCACATAGAATGATTCTAGGTTGAAAGGTTTGCTCACCTAAAATGAATCAAAGCATGTTAGACTAGAATAACTTGAAGTTGTGACATAAGTTCCCTTCATGAATAACTTAACTTGGTAAGATAAGACCATGCTTGGTAGCTTGAGTTAGGAGTTCTCATGATATCCTTGGATTGAGAAACCATACTCTCCTAAGGGTAGCTTGCACTAGCATCATAAAATGCTTGCATGGTAGCATGAGTATAAGATGTCATGGTAGCCTAGGATTGAGGAACCATACTCTCCTACGGGTAGCTTGCACTAGTATCATAGAATGCTTGCATGGTAGCATGACTTGGGTTAGGCCAAACCATTTCATTGGTAGCTAGGATGGTGGAATAATATCCTTCCTTGTATAGCTTGGAATTGCATGATAGTATGTCTCTGTATGGTAGCTTGGTCTAATCCAATATGGTGAATATTCCTTGGTAGCTTGGTCTAGCCTAATAGGGTGCTATTCTTTGGTAGTCTAGAATTATAAATGGTAATCATTGACGTATGATAGCCTAAAGTAGTACTTAGCATGGGTAGGATTATGGGGTCTTATTCATACATTGCACAAGTATGACTTGAAGCTACTTATGAAACATGTATCTTATGTGTTGCATGCTTAGCTTGGATTGAGTAATAGTACTTTTACTTGGTAGCCTTGAATAGGTGAATTATGACCATTCATGAGTAATGACTTGTCTTGGACTAGTAAAAAAGGTACTCTTCCATGACTATTATGAATATGAGGGACAAGTCCCTAATCTAAGTAGCATGTGTATGGTGAAACTAGATTACTTCAAGGAAGTATTGTAAGCTATGTTCTAATATGAGATTTGCCTATATGATATATGTTAGCTTGGATTGTTGCCATAGTTGCTTTACTTGATATGATGGACTAAAGGTAAGGATTCCCTTGTCTATGAGAATTGTGCTAATGATGAGATCCTAAGAGGGTAAGTATGATTATGATGACCTAAAAGTGGTACTTAGTGTGGATGGGATTATGGGGTCTCATCCATGCATTGCACAAGTATTCTTTGAGGTTACTTGAGAAGTAGTTCTCTTATGATAAGAAGAACTAAGGGTTGACTAATGCTTATATGATGCCTATGCTGGAGACTTTGATTATAGTTATGATATTGTCTCTTATGCTTATAGTTTTTGTTTCATGAAGTATCTCTTATAATTATGGCATATGGCTTATGTTGACTAACCCTTATGTTATTCTCTTTTGATGTTATGCTAGCTATCATATTTAGTACTTTTGTACTAACACATACTCTTGCCTAAATTCTCATCAAATGTAGGGTCCGGTGATTTTGAGTTCCATTCTTGAAGATAGGTTTCTAGAAGTGCAAGGAGTTGAAGACTTGGTGAGTCCTCATAGCATCGAGGATTTGATCACCTTTCCTTTATGTCTTTTATTTTCATGTCTTGAGACTATTGTATCGGCTGTGACCCAAGAGTATTCAAAGTTGTATTAGATGGTTTGAGACGAGTGTAGTAAGACTTCCGCTGTGCCTTTATAAAGACTTTGATTGTATGGAAAATATTTTAAAATTTCTGCACTTTTCTATTATCTTATGTTATGATATGCTAAGGGCTTGTATGAAACCCATTTGGGGTCAAGTACGCCATGTTACATCTAGGGTGTACCCTTGGGTCGTGGCAAACAAGTTCAGACTACCAAGGATTTTCTTGGAACTGTGAATCAGGTTGTTGTACTTGCTCCTTAGAGAGGTACTAATGCACCATTACAACGATTACGATCTCAGTTGGCAGCAAATGAGAAGGACATAACAGCTCTTCGATTGTCACATTCAGCTACCAGGGATAAGTTGCATCTGACATATAGGGTAGAACATGCTGGGTTGATTGAGGAGAACACCTATTTGAAAGGTGAGTTGCTCAAGTCTAAAACTACTTTGGAGACTGAAAAATCCTCGAATTCAACACATCTAAAGGGCCTCTTTGAGCTACTTAAAACACATCCTACCTCATTTCCAGCTCCTAGCCCTTCCTCCAAGCTACCTTAATACTTTTGCTCACTATTTCATGTGTTTTGCCTTCAAGTTTTTTTGTTAAGCAAGTGATGTACTTATCTGACTTGATGACTGTGTTGGTGCTTTGCTGATGTTTGGTTCTGATTCTGCCTGCCTTCTGTTGTGAACATTGTTATAGTTAATTAAGTGTTTTGGTTCTTGTGATGGTGGGTTAAGAACGTATATTGTTTTATCTTGTGATATATCGTGTAGTTCCAGGTTTGTTTTAATGATGTCAAAAGGGGGAAGTGATCGTGGTTCAATGCAGATATGTTCAATGCAGATGAAGCTGCTAATAAAGTTTGTCATCATAGAAAAGGGGGACTTTGTTAGATGCACATAAATTAGTATTTTGAAGACTGACAAAGCTGCATTGAACAAGTTGTGTCAACGTGATATGTGTTCACCAAATATGACTAGGAGAAGGAATATAGAACAAAGTAGGAAGCGTAGGTATAACCTTGTAAGGTTCCAAGTTCTAAACGAAAGAGGAAGCAAGTTTAAGTTGAAGACGGTTTGAGGAGTGGAGTTCAAATCTACAAATAGGGCGAGATTTTCTTCGTGGAAAGGCGCGCACTTATGAGAGAGACAAGCAAAACACTATCAATAATTGAGAGAGTTTTGATTACTTATTCTGAGTGCTGCGAGGAATAATTGAGCGAAGTAGTTTAGGTGATTATTTGAGTGAAGTGTGATCTTCTAGTTGGGGAAAACTTGGAGATCGTCTGGAAACATAAGCCTTGGGGGCTTGTGTTTTGGGTTACAGAATTAGAGTTTATAATTCCATAGGATTACAGAGTTGTGTAATCTGTTGTAACTCAAAGTTGTTTATTGAAGCTGAAGTTAAAATTATTGCATTGTTTAATTACTATTATTCTTAACTTCATTTTGTCAATTCGTTAAACGGTACATCGCTTGTACGTGTTTCTTAGGAGATTAACGGAGGTCATAATTCAACAATACTTTTAGTTTTTAATTGGTTTGTTGACATTCTCTTTGTGTGAACAACCAATGAAATGATTAAAAAAATTATATAGCTGAACTAGAAATGATTACAAATAGATAAGAGGAGGTTGTTCGTCTAGTAAGCACCCTCCAGTAGTCCAAAAAGGGAAAGAAAGGGGTTAGCACAATTAAGTACTAAGTATGGAAGCCATGCAAAAACATGCTAAAAAGGACCTTTATTTGAAATATATGCTTTCATGCCATTTTTGATAAAAACCTTCATATCACAATTATAAGAGACACATTTCACGTCATCATCCACATATAAGACAATACCCACATAATAGACATACTCAACTAGTACCAATGTACAATACATGAACATAATCGACAAGTAAGCCTTTTCATCATTTCATGACCTCTATCTCAAGTTACCCAAAGCCACACTTAAGTGAAACATGAAGTGACCGCCCATACAATCTCTTCATATACACCTAAGTATTCCTAAGGGTTACCATAGATAAGGAAATTTACCATTACAATATAACATACTAAGTCAATGTTCACATATAAAACCATAGCCAACCGTATACATACTCAACATATATTCATATACAACCCATGCTTAACTTTAAAGGAACACATGCCATTTCATTACCATAGGACCTCTACCTAATATAACCTTAAGACACACTTGAGTGAGACAAGAAGTGACCGCCCATACAACCTCTTCAAGCGCACTTAAGTGTTCCTCAAGATTACCTTAGATAAGGACATTTCCTTTACAACATAACATCAATAGACCAACATTCTTTAAGAAACCATTTTTGGAGACATTCAAGCACATAAGGGGACTTTCACATAATAGTCGTTAGACTTAGGGAACTCACTTTAGTATCTTCAAAGCCTACTCGTGCCATGTGTAGATAGCATCCCATACTACTACCTACACGTTGTAGAACCTATCCAATAACTAGAGTGCACATCCCACATGATGGGAATAGGCATAACCGACATAGACCATACTAGCTAGGCATGGAATCCGGAGTCTACCCTACTCCGTGGAAGGTGTTCTACTTGCCAAAGGTAGAACTAATAATCAACCCATGTAGGTACATGGTTTAGGGGATGTCCAAGGATGTTCATTGTGCCCTAGTCTCATACTCAAGTAGGGCCACCATCCTAACCACATCCACTCGGTGCTAGCCTTGTTTCCCATAGAGTATTTTCATTCACATATGTACTAGAGAGGGTTCCTTTTCTAGTTCAACCAACTCATAGTATCTCTTCCCAAGAAAGGCCCCATTTCTTAGTTATGGCCAATCAAGGTTCATAAGGATAGCTCATTTGACTTTCTTAGATAAGGATTTTCATGCCGTTCCGGCTCCATCCATCTCTAAGTCTATCATCTCACTCAAGAAGGGAACTTCGCCCTAAGGCCCATCCTTCAAGGTTATACATTTACTTAGGAAAGCTAGACTTATGAAAGGGCACCATTTCTTAGTTTTGCCGATTCAAGCCTTGGCCTAGAATTCCTCTTTTAGCATTTATAGAAAGGGCACCATTTCTTAGTTCTAGCCCACTTCACACATTCATGCATTCAAGACTTTAAGTAACAAGGAGGGACACTTTAGTCTACCAACCAAGTCACAACATTATCATCTAAGGATACTTCATAATCCAACATCATTTCATATATATACATCATGAGAAAATCATACTTTAAATCACAATGCTATCCACTTTACATAAGATCATCACAAGATCACGTAAACTCATTCACATCATACCTTCACACATAAAGCTTCACATAAACTTTACATATAGCTTCATATAAGACTTTACATATAGCCTCATTTATATATACTAACACAACAATAC